CCAAAAAAATAAATAAACGTTAAAAAAAATTTTTTTTTAAAAAAGATCACATGAAGAGGATAAAAAGACAAGCTATAGAGTAGGAAAAAATACAAGCCATGTATCTGAAAAAAACACTAATAACTAGAATATACAAAGAACTCTCAAAACTCAACAGTATAAAACCACACACTTCAATTAGAAAATAGGCAAAAGACAGATATTTTACTGAAGAGAATATATGGATGGCTGTTAAACACATGAAAAGATGTTCAACATTATTGATCATTGGAGAAATGCAAATGAAAACCACAATGAGATATCACTACATACCTATTGAAAAGGCTAAAATAAAAATAAATAGTGACAACACCAAATGCTGGGAAGGGTGTAGAGGAACTGAATCATTTATATCTTGCTGTAGAGATTGCTAAATGGCATAGCCACTCTGGAAAATAGTATGGTGGTTTCTTAAAACACAAAATGTACAATTACCATATAACCTAGCAGTTACATTCCTGGACAATTTTCCCAGAGAAATGAAAATTTACTTTCACATAAAAACCTCTAAACAAATGTTTATAGCAACTTTGTTCATAATAGCCCAAAATGGAAACAACCCAGATATCTTGCAGTAGGTGAGTAAGCAAACTATGGTATATCCATACCATGGAATATTACTTCTTAGTAAAAAGGAGCCAACTATTGGTACATGCAACAACTTGGGTGAATCTCCAAGGAATTATGCTAAGTGAGAAAAGCCAATCCTCAAACGTTATATATGGTATGACTCCATTTATATAACATTCTTGAAATGATATAATTTAGCAATGGGAAGCAGATTAGTGGTTGACAAAGATTAAGGAGGGGGTGAGTACAGGAGAGAAGAGTGGTTATGGAAGAGTAATGATAGTGTTCTTGTGATGACAGAAATGTTCTATCTCTTGGCTGTGTCCCATAACAATGTTAAAATCCTGGTTGTAATATTGTACTAGAGTTTTATAAAATGTTATCATTGGAGAAACTGAGTAAAGGGTACAAAGTGTATCTCTGTATTGTTTCTTACAGCTGCATGTAAATATGCAGTACTCTCAAAATAAAAAAAAAGTTTAATTGAGAAATTAAAATGAACACTTCCCAAACTTTCCCCCTAATATTTTCATATCATTTGTTGGCACTCAGTACCTTCATATTTCTGACACTTACCACCTTTGAAAATTGCCTCTTAGAGGACATCACCAAAATAGCAGAATAGCTTTCAATTGTCTTCCCCCTGAAGAATATTGATTTTGACAGTCACCCACAGATGAGTGCTTTTGTGAAAGTTCAAAATCCAGCAGAAAAGTTCCAGATCACCCATAGAGAAAAATATCCATGATTAGATGCATAGAAAAATAGGGCCAGTCAATAAAGACTAGAGGAAATGAATGCCTTTTCAAATGCCACAACAGCAACTCAATACTACAAGGGACATGAAAAATCAGGGAAACATGACATAACCAAAGGAATACAGTTTTATAGAAACTGACCCCCAAAGACATGGAGATATACAATTTTTCCAATAAACATTTCCAAATAGTTGTTTCAAGGAAATTTAGTGAGCCACAAGAAAGCACAGAAAGTTCAAAAAAATCAGGAAAACAATACACAAGACAAGAAACTTAACAAAGAGTAGAAATCATAAAAAAATAACCAAACAAAAATTATAGAGCTGAAGAATACAATTAATGAAATGAAACAAATGCAATAGAGAGTATCAAAAACAGATTTGATCAAGCAGAAGAAAGTATTTGTGAAGTCAAAAGCAGGTCATTTGAAATTATCGAAGAAAGCCTATGTGAATTATGGGATAAAATTAAGATAAGCAATCGATACAATATTGTAGAACCAGAAGAAGAAAAGAGAAAGAAAGGGGAAGAAAACTTATTTAAAGAAATAATGGCTGAGAAACTTTCAATTCTGGATAAGTATTTAAATATTCAGCTTCATGAGACTCATTGTTTGCTAAACAATGTCAACCCAAATTATATTCTTCAAGATACATTATAATAAAACTGTCTAAAGTCAAAAACAAAGAGAAAAGATTAAAAGCAGCAAGATAAAATCTTCATATACAAGGGAACACACATAAGGCTATTAGAAGATTTTTCAGCAGGAACCTAGCAGACCAGGAGAGAGTGGGATGCTATATTCAGAGTTCTGAAAGAAGAAAACTGTTAACCAAGAATACTATACCCAGGAAAGTTGTTCTTTAGAAATGTAGGATAAAGAAAGACTTTCCCAGAGAGAGAGAGAGAGAGAGAGAGAGAGAGATTGAGAGAAAGAGTCCATCACCTCTAGATTTGTCTTACAAGAAATGCTGAAATGAGTTTTTCAAACTGAAGGTAAAAGATGATAATCAGTAACATGAAAACATATGAAAATATAAACACACAGGTAAAGCAAGTGTATATCTATTCAGAATACTCTAATATGGTGGTGTATTAATTATATCTATAAAGGATAAAGTATAAAAGGGTTAAAATAACTAAGGTACAATAATTTATTAATGGATAACAATAAAAAATGTAAATTGTGACATCAAAAACATAATATGTGGAGTTGGAGAGTAAAAAGGTAGAGTTTGTTTTTTATGTGTCCAAAGTTAATTTGTTACCAGTATAAAATAGATTATTGTAACTATAAGATATCTATGTCAGCTTCATTGTAACCACAAAGAACATACGTACAGTAGATACACACACAAAAAGAGGAGAATCAAAGCATACAAGTTTGGAAAACCATCAATTCATAAAGGAAAATAGCAAGAGAAGAAGAAAAGAACAAAATAACTATAAAACAGAAATAATTAATAAGATGACAATAGTAAATCTCTACCATCTCAATAATTACTTTCAATGTGAATGGATTAGATTCCCTTATCAACATGCATAGAGTGGCCGAATGGATAAAAATATAAGACACAATTATGCACTGCCTACAGAAGACTAAGTTCATCTTTAAGGATACATATAACCTCAAAGTTAAGGGATGGTA